GAGAGGCACTTTTACCCCTAAATTTATCATCAAGTCTTACAGATGGGACAGTCCTCCGCAAGATGGTTGCTGTGTGAAGATGTGCAACGGTGGTGGGGAAGTCGGTTATTGGTGTCCAAGTCATAGTAACGGTGTGCCTAGTTCAGATTTCGACAAAGTTGTTATCGGTTGTAATGAAGAACAATTACTTTGTTCTTGAAGTCTTTATGATTATACTGTACTGTATCAGATGATATTTACCTCATACGACTTATTAAAGAGGAGTATATGATTATATAAACCAAAATCTCAAGAGTCGTTCAACGTGTCGCTCATATAACATTCGTATTAAATTTACCCAATTTTACGTTATTATGAAATAAAGCCTTTGCATTGACTTTTGAACGAGTAAATGACTGTATGTTCTAACATGCCCCTCATGAAGCACATCTACAGATCTGTGGATAATACAAAAGATGAGTTGAATATATTCGTTAGATAATTGATGCTCTTGTTCGATACGGAAACGTTATTATAGTTTTATCGATATTAATATTGTTAAGCTAAAATAAAGACATTTTTTTCCATCGTATTTGTTAACAATAAAGAACACAAATCTCTGATAATAATTTTCGGAAAATATTCCGACACCGAATTGTTATCGTCAAACTGTCTAAATTGACTCGTCAGATTTTAAATCAACGACCGACAGAAAGATAACTTCAAAATAGCAGTCAGGGAAATAAAATAAGCTGTCGGGAATGAACGGCTCCCGACTTTCAGCGGTTATATTATCTGTACGATGAATCGGCGATGTTATTGATCTGCAAAATATACATTAACAAGCTATTAATGTATTGAATAGATTGGAAGCGTCATTCATAATTATTGCATAGAAAGATTGTTGGCGGATACATGTTAATTTATTGCCTAAGATATTCGACACATTATCGCTAATGAATTTTTAAAAAATTATGTCCGTTCTTAGAGATTTACTTGGGTAGTAAAAGCAGTCAAAGTCGATGTTATCGTCACACACCACAGAGTCTTATTGTCGCGGTGAGAAAGCGCAACCGTTCTCGTAAAGAAAACAACCGGCACATATATCTCATCACACGTATAGCAACTGTTCACTCCTGCATTTCTTTCGGGCAGGCATTATTTTCTTTCCGGGCAAAGCGCTTATCTTGTTTATCCTTTGTGGTGGCTATTACATTAAAAATGTTTATGTGATCTGTTATCTCATAATAGTTACATCTCAATCTAGCATTATTCTAAATATAAATACAGTATAAATTAACAAAATGTGTTAATATTTGATATTCAGTATTTGGTAAATTTTAACGTTTAGTTATTTCTGACAAACATTACCAACATTATTTCGAAATTATCCTTTTTGGGTGGTGATTGTCGGTGAACGTTATTACTGACAGGTTTAATCATTGCGCACACAGTTTAAGTTGGTCTCGACGTGATAAAATGACAATTTTATTAAATAATATTACATGTCGTAGGATATTATTGTAGGCTGGACGTATGCATAAAATTTCGATCAATTAGCCGTATGCCAACTACATAGGCCGACTTATCGGTGTTTGACAGGGATGTTTGCGTTCCTTTACTTTAATTTAAAGTTGCCGGGAACACTTACATTAGCAACAAAGATGAAATCTTATTACTCATGGACAAATTTTTGACACCATTTAGTAATAAAAAATGTCCCCTGAAAAGTATTATGAAAAAAGGCAAAGTTTTCAGTTGCATACGAAATAGGTCACTAAATGTAGACGTCAATGCATATTAACAATGTCTCAAAAAAAAAAGTTTGGCCAAATAAATAGAAATCAACTGCATAGAATGTAGGAACACGATTGACTGGTCAACGAAATTAAATTACCCAATTTGGCGTTCTATAATTGGTTCACGTGTCCACAAGCCATTTTTTATAAATACGTAAGCGCAGTTTTAACTTCTCCCAAAGACAAAGTCGTTCTGTTTGTCATTAGGCGCTCTACTCTGTTGTATAAAACTTTTATTTTAACAGTCACTTAACAATGCCAAAGAATAAAGGGAAGGTATGGCAAGTGTGATCCAGTTCGTGTGGCTATGTTTTGAATGCTTACTGAATGCGATCTAACTTGTACAGGGAGGGAAAAACAGAAGGAGGGGGAAAAATGAAAATGAATCCGAAAAAAGAGAGTTGATTTTTAAGGAAGATGGGCAAGGTTTGTGTATGCGTATATCAGCACTGGCATTTATTGCCGAAAATAAATGCGCAGATGATAGCATTGCTATCAGTGTACATCTATTTGTATAATAATCTTGCTTATCTACTAGTTTTGATTTTAAAATAGAGTATGCCCAGGTAGTTAAGATGCTTGGCAATGGTCGATTGGAAGCTCAATGTTTCGATGGGGAAAAACGCCTGGCACATATCCGTGGTAAACTGCGTAAAAAAGTAAGAACTTGAATGATTGATCAATGCGTTGGTGAAACCGCATTGTTCTAAAAATCGATCTATTGTTGGTTTATTCAGGTTTGGATCAATCAAGGAGATATCATTCTTATCTCTCTACGGGATTATCAAGACTCAAAGGCCGATGTTATCCTAAAATATACGACTGAAGAAGCTCGAAATCTCAAAGCGTATGGAGAATTACCGGAAAATGGTAAGTCCAATTTTATTCGGGAACTGTTCGTTCGAAATATCATTCATTTACTGATTTACTCATTTATCTTTATTTAGCTAAAATCAATGAAGGTGGATTGGGCGAGGAAGATGATGAATGCAACTTTGAATTCGATATTGATGAGGTAAAAATGAAGTCGATTCGCCGTAACTACACATTCTTGCAAAGACAGCTGTTTGTGACTAACTATCATACTGTATTTTTGTAGATTTAAAATAATATCATAATCAAAAAGCACCAACAACATTGGTTTATAGATAGCTCAAAAGTATTAAGTGTAATCATGTACCATACACGATCTCCATTCTACCCATCTAAATCTAATCTCGTCGATTATTTTCCTTCCTCTAATTATCAAAAAATACTCCGGCCAGGAGCAGAGGAAGATTATCTGGCAAATTGTAGTACCATAGATAAAATAATAAAGACTAGAAGGTCGGGTAAATTATTCAGATCATTGACTATAGTCTGGAAATCAAACCATTCGGTACTTCAACTTCATAACTCAACAACATTTGAGCAAATGTCTTTCCCTGTCTATCCACACGTAAAGAGCTCAATCCACCACCACCTATAAATTATGATTAAATTTTTTATTGCGTCTTTATGCGAGAATTCAAGCATCATTTCTAAACGCTTACCCAGACTTTTTGTGAACACAAAATTCAGTGCGTAGCATCCTGGCACGACATAACGCTTAACGATACCCTTGCATACATGTGACATATACGCTCGCACAGTCTGCAAGTAGAATTTACACAGGGTTTGTTACTGTTCATATGGATAGGATCGATTATCTTTAAAGTTCTCACCTCTTCGGTCAACACTCTCTTCAGAAATCCATAATATTTCGGATGTCGTGCAATGATGCCTGAGTTTCAATGAATACAGGTCCCATATATATTCCTCATATCTGAAAACGCACATTCACAACCACATACCAAAACACGTCTCTTCCTTACCTATATTACAAGTATCGCCCTTGTCTCCACTTCGACCATGCGCAATTTTAATCAACGGCATTTTCAAAGTATATTCTCCTTCCGTGTGAACTTGTTTGTAATCATCGCTCTCTTTAGCGTCGTCATATGTCTGGTAGTTTGACATAGGTCCAGTGAAAAGAACATTTT